ATCTCCCCAACTCCTCATTGGCCGAATTTTATTAAATCTCCTTGCTCCTAATTTATTTCCTAAAACCAAATATTTGATTAGGGAAATAAATCCCCTCCCCATCCCCATGATGCCGCCGGCCCCCTCTCTCTACCTGCCCCCTCTCTCTCTCTCCAATCTCTCTCTCTCATTAATTCTCCACCGAAATTTATGAATTAAAATTTCCCTCCTGATTTCCCATCTTCTAATTTCAAGCTCTGAAATTTATTTCTGGTTTTGGGAGGAAAATTCCTCCGTGCCTCATTCTTACTTCGAGTTGAAGAGGGACTTCTTTCTCTTCAACAACCTTCAAGAGCACTAGCAATCCTTGGGAAAGACATCGTCGTTAAGCATCTATGAATGGCTGATCCCAACACTGATTACGGACTTGAATACGACGAACAAGGCTTCATGCACATCCTCCGTTCAACCTTCTTCGACGTCAACACAAGGATCGATCATACGGTGGAAGATTACATCGAACGCATCTTGGATACTTTAGTGGAAGCTATTGAAGAGCAGTTAGAGATCGTCAAGTGGAGGATCGCCGCCGATCCTTGACGAATGTTTTCTACTCTTCCTCCTCTTGTATTTCTTAAGCCTAACCTTTATTGTGAATTGATTGTAGTCACGAAGGATGCTTCCACCTACTTCTGCTAAGCTTAGTAAAACATAAGGATTTGAGTGTACCTCTTTGTTTCTAGCTTTTATTGTTAGACTAGGGATTTTTGTTGAAACTCATATTCTGGCATGATGTTATTTTCTAATTTATTTTGAAGTTTCAAATCTTTGGTTATGTGATTTAGCCTAAGCGGGCATGACACCTCTTACGTTTTATTCCGTTGTTTTAAATGCTTGTAGTTTTCTTCGTTATTTTCTAATCAAAAGTTGTGCAAAATCTTCCAAAATCACTGCATCCCTACGTAGTTCTACATCATCATGTCATAATAAGTCATGTTATTAGGCACGCCTCTAAAAAAAATGAAAAAGAATCATAAGACATAGCAAGATATCATTTAAATACTCTTTAGGTTTGAAAGTTTCATATTTATAAAGGTCGGACAAACAGCAATGGTTAGGTTGCCTCCATTTTAACCCAAAAGCTATAGGTTTTAATCATGGAACAACAGCTCTAAAATTAATGATGAGGACATCAGAAGATCAACGACTATAATCTAAAGTTTATTTTATTTTATTTGATATCTTATGTACTAGTTTATGTTATATTACTGTTTTTCTCATTTTACCCTTAGGAGTGATCAAGTGGTGTTGTAGCCCGAATGGCATTTTAGTCTTTGCTATTTTTCTTTTCATGAGGCCTATTTATAGGTTAGCTTTCTTGTATTGAAGGAGGATGATTTGTTAATGAAAGTTTATTCTACTTGTTTGATCTCTTAGTGAGTTCATGAGAGGAGAATGATCTTTTTGTGAGTTCTGAGATTCCCAAGATCTCTTTGTGAGTTCTTGAGGAGGAGATACTTGAGGTTTGTAGTTTCCTTGATTTTCCAAGTCTTTCTCTTATTTCTCTTGGCATTAGTTTTCCCCTCCCCAATATCCCCTTGTCGCCGGCCACCGCCCATCAACCCTCCCCCAACCGCCGGCCTCCCCAAGCTCTACAAGCTATCGTCCATCAATCCACCACCCAATGATTTTGAATTTCAAATTTCAAAATCATCCTTAATTACTTTCCTGATTTGTGTCCTCATTAATTCGGAAAGTTATTCACTTAGATTCAAATTCAAATTTGAATTCTAAAACTCTCCCTATTAATAACATACGTTAGGAAACCTCATAATCCCATTAAAATCTGAAATCAATTTCAGATTTAATAGCAATCCTCAATTAAATCCTTCCCGGACCCACGCATTAAATGAAAACACCTCAAACTTCATCCTATGTGGTCGGCCTCCTCTCTAGCCCCTTTCTCTCTCCAATTCGCCACCTAGACCCACATTAAGTCCCCATTAAACCTCCCTTGGCTGCCACCCCAATCAAGCCACCATTTGTAATTAATTTGAATTTCAAATTAAAGTTTCCCTCCAACTCTAATCAATTGGTATCCAATCAGGAAACAATTAATTAAGATCCTCTATCAACTTCCCACCTAATCCTCCTAAAATTCAAATTTCAAACTTGAAAGTCCTCAATGCTCTCTTAAACAAAATCTGAACGAGAGTTTCAGAATTTTGTTCCCTCTCTCCAACACCTGCCGCCCCTTCTTCTCTCCCTAACCCATTGAATCCTCCCAACATCCTTCCCAATTCCCCTTCCCAAGCCTATCCCACCTCCAGCCACCATTCCCAAGCATTTTCCCACGACTTCTCCATGCTCTCCTGAGATTATTGCTGCCAGACTTTTGTTTCCAGCAGAAGGAACCTGCTGATCTATATCATGGAAGGCCATATGCTAGGGTGCAAAGCACCCAAGACCACATAGGAGCTGTCCAAGTTATTTCCAACAGTGCAGTTGGACAATTTGTTGTCCAGGGAAAATCTGCACCTATTTCTTGCTATCCAGTCAATTGAAAGGTCTTCAAACGTTGTCCGGACGTTTCAGATTGTTGACCACGCCTTCAAGAAGGTTCATGGATGCCACCTACTTCCTTCCAAGGCTCCCTACAGCCACCGGAACTTCGTATCTTCCGATTATTTGGGTAAACTCTCCTCCAAATCTTTTAATCTCTAAGTCGCTACTCAATTGTGGTTTATAAGTGATTAATGAAGGTTCTTGTCATTCTCTCCGCTAAAGCCTAGAAGTTGGAAGAGTTGAGTGAGGGGCATCTCTTAGTGACTAAACTCATTGTTAGTTTAGGGATTTTTCGTTGGAGCCCAACCACCTACACAATGTTAGATTAATTGATTGTTTTACGACCTTAACTCCTAAGCATGTGATTTAGCCTAAGCGTGTTTTATCGTCTTATTGTTTTTTCTTAACATTTAAATTGGCATAAATTTTATTTATTATTGTTCTCGAAATATTAAGCATGCAAATTCCTTTAAGCAATTCATCCTTTGCATCTTCCTTCTACATCAATTAAACCCTGTGAACACTGTAATAGTAAATGCTACTCACCCCTCCTACCCCTCCATCTCAACCCCCAAAAATGATAAAAAAACCCAATTTGTTAGTGATTAAAACAAATATACCTTTGCACAACAAAGTATTCCGTGCACTTTATTTTTCAGGCATAGCTTAGCATCTAAGTTAATCACCCATTTGAAAACCTACATAGCAGCCAAACTCATGTCATAATAAGTCATGCTATTAGTCACACTTCTAAAAAAATGAAAAAGAATCATAAGCCATAGCAAGATATCATTCAAATATTCTTTAGGTTTGAAAATTGCATATTTATAAAGGTTGTCCAAAGAGCAATGGCTAGGTTGCCTCCATTTTAACCAAAAAGCTATAGATTTGAATTATGGAACAGCAGCTCTGAATTTAAGCCCTCTCTGAACTATATATTATCAAAAACTTATGCAAAAGACCACGGTAGGCGCTTTCTTAGGCCTATGAATATGTGATAATAAATTAAATGACCATTCAAAAAAATAATTAATTGTGGTGTGGTTCATTATGCCATCGTGTGACATTTAATGGCATAATGCCAATACATAAATCATTGGCATATTTTGCATAGCATATTTAACAAATGCCGGTGTAATTCAATTTTGTACAACTATAATAAAAGGAACCTAAGCATGCTGCATACCAACAACACAAAGCATGGCATTGAAGTTAGCATAGTTCAAGAAAAGGAGTTTGATACTACAAATTTTGTATATGTTCTCTCAATCTTAGAAAAAATTTATTCTTCTATAGCATTTTAAAATTACTTTTTTGAGAAGTTAAAAGAAATTTGATATCCCTCAAAAGGGGTGTAAATGAGTCGAGATAAGCTCGAGTCACCTCTGGCTTGAGCTTTAGCTTAATTAATTAATTGAGTTCGAGCTCAAGCTTTATTCTACAAGTTTGAGCCGACTCACAAACTTATGAAAGAGAGAAAATGATTATGATTCAAGCAATTATTATAATATATAATGATAAAATGAATGAAAAACTAAAAGAAAAATAATAAAGAATCACTTAATATAATATAGCGAGATATATATTTCAAACATTTTTACAAGGTTAAACTTAAAATCTTGAATGCTAATATATTTAAAGTACATTTTATATTAATATTTTTTAAACAACCCAGCTTGCAAGCTAACGAGTCAACACAGGCTTGGCTTAAGCTTGGCACGTTAGCTCATCAGGCCTGGCTCACGATCCATTTATCAAGCCAAGCATGAGCTGGCTCATAAGTCGGCCTGACTCACTTACACCCCTATCCCTCATATTTCATGAGTGCTTGATGTACCAAGGTTCAACCAACAAAGTATGCATATCACAAGTATTTATGCTCAGAAACAGAGAAATATTCTTAAGTCGTATGAGAAATGGCTAATAATTTGATTAAGTTATTTAGGAGGCTTTGCACCCAAAGTGAATACAGCACATTAACCATATGTAACCGCTTCTATGCTTGTCCTACTAAGGCATTGAAAGAACATGGCACATTATGCTCCTCCTTAAATATGTCAGCATGTCGTTTTCTAGTGGTTTTCTTAAACTATCCAAGATAACAATAAAATTTGCGTTTCAAACGAATCTAATCATTCAGGAAATCTCAGAACTCAACCCAAGGACTCTAAGGTACAGTTAACATATTAAAACGGTGGAAGACCATTGCTTAAATTCTCTTTCAGCGCAGTAAATTGCGAACTCCTGATAAATATGCAACTCAAATCTATGAAATTGATTAAATATAATAAAAATAAAAAAAGCACACAACCAGACTCATCCAGAAGGACTCGATAGATTCAAACTCCAATCCAGCAAACCGCAAAGCTCCCATACCATAAAATTCAAGAAAACAACAAAATCCTAGGTCTGAACAAAATAAAAAAGTAAAGAAGTAAAAAGAAAATGTGACTCACATCTTGCCCCAAGTGAGCAATGATATCAACCAGCATGGAACCTATCTCTTCCTTCTTTCCATCTGAGAACGTAGCCGAGTCCAGCGCCAATTTACACTTTTGCAAGGGTAATTCTCCGCGAATCTTCATTCCACTCCCAACAGAGTCAGCCATCAAAACAGAGCTCATATTGAACGATGAAAAATCTTAGGACGGCATGGCAAAACCCTAAAAGGTAGGAGCACGCACCATAGCCCAGCAGAGCTCGTAGAGGAACCTGATCATAGAGACCGGTTCCGGGAGCTTGAAATTGCTGTTCGAGGCCTTCCATTCCTGGAGGCATCCTTCTGTGACGAATTTGAACTCGGGGCACTTGGAAGTCATGTCGGATGGGAGAGCAGGGTAGGACGACAAAGTGCGGGATCACAAAAAGCAAAAATTGAACCCTAGGGTTCGGAGTGGAGCGGCTTCAGCCACGACGAGGGGTGTGGAGAACCTGACAGGTACCCGAGTTCGCGCGATAGCTTCGCCCCCTCTATTGGAAATTACACCAGAAAAGCATGAAGTAGAAGCAGGATTCAGGAAGTAGGAAATCGAAGGTCTTTTCTATGCCTAGCGTCGGTCAAGTTCGGGCCAGGCAAAATCGGGCCAGCGCTTCTTTTGTCCGACTCGGCCCGTGGCAAACTTCCATGCCCAAGCGGGTCCGGCCCAGCCGCCGGGCCAGAAATAATAAGGGTCTCCAAGATTAAACTCTATTGGTTTTTATGGAGTAAATTGGCGCATTGCATTTCATATGGAATGTGTTTTATTCTTTTCTTTTTTTTAGGGGCTTTTTTATGGAGTATTATGAGTATATTGTATTGATTTTAAATTCTTAAATATTTGATTCAGTGTTAAACAATTACAATGTATTTCATTTGAGGTTTTGTATATCTTCATTAGGCAATAATTTATTTTTTATAATTTTTAAATTCATTTTAATAGGATAAATTTCAAATCTCCGCATTCACCCAAGTCTTCAAGCTTTTCACCACTCATAAAGTTCGACGTCCTAGAGCTTGCAAGCGCTTTTTGCTCTCCTGGTCCCCACAATCTCCAACAAACTTGTGCTTTGTTAGCACTCACTTACCTACGCTTCAAACATTCTCGTCTTTTCTAATCCTCACTTACACCCTCATCTCTCCCAAATGTTCATGAGCTCGTCACTTGTCCTTGCACTCTATCGATAATAACTAATCACCTTACATCATCGTTGATTACTCTGATGACGATAATCATAGCCATCTTTGTTGACCTTACCTTATCCTAGTTCCATTTTTATTAAGTTTTTAAGAGAGGAAGCACTTTATGGGCTGATTAAAAAAATTAAGTTTTTAAGAAAATATTTTAAATTAATAACACTAATACATAGTATTTTTTAACATTTTAATTTAAATTTAAAAAACATTTTTCAGCCAATTAATAAAATTTTAAATAAATTTTACAACTAATTAAAATACAACTTTTTATGAATTATCTGTTAGCATTCTTATTATGATGGATGACTAGAGAGTCAATGATTTTGATGTTAGTTTGTGGTTTAGTATATTTCAAATTTCTAGAATAAACCTCGTGAAGAGAGCTAAATGGCATCAATAATTCCGTGAATTTGCTAATAATAAATGTCTCATAGAGCACAAGAAAAATAATTATTTTTGATGAATTTTTTCTGTCATAAATAAAATTTCATACATATTTTTTGTGATCGCTAATAACTAATTATGAAACATTTATTGATACTTGATTTTCAACGAAAAATTTTTCCATCAAATTTCTGACAAATTATTCGCTAAAAAGACTGGCATGGCAAAATTTAACACAAAATAGTCTTCGTCAAAAATTTTTGCGCAATTATTATGATGGTATTGTTTGTCGAAATTTTTCGTGGGTTTCACGCTAGTAATCTGTCGGTATGTATTACATTTGAAAGCAATTAAGCATTCCAAATTTTACAACATTGATTATTCAATTGTCCTCACAATTTATAACTTACATGATTAATTAACAAAAAAAGATTAATCTTCATCCTTAACTTCACTCTCCTGAGTCGCTTGCTCCTAGCTACTAGTAGTAAATCTCTTATTGTTGCCAAAATATCCACAATTTTGTTTGTATTTGAGTTTGCATCTTAGCTTGCATCACTAACATGCAAGCTATGGTGTTTTTTTTTTTTTTTAAAGATTCAAATTTCATTTCATAAAAGAAAAATACAAAAAGGACCTAAATGCATATAAAACTATAATATAAAGCTAATATCGACAGGTACAGACCAGTAAACATAAAAAATGAAAAACCAGTGAATAAGACACAGAAACCAGACGGACTCAGAGCTTCCTGCAACCACCCAAAAGAAAGGCACTGACCATCCATTGGAGGAAGCAAACCACAAACCAAACAGAGAATAACCATACAAAAGACAAGATACGACCCACAATCCAAACAGTAAACCACAAAACAGAAGAACAAAACCACCAAAGTTGCCAGCAAGCCTAGGCTAACGAGGTAGCGAATATGAAGCAGCCTCATCATTGTCCATAGCACCATAAAAATCACAGAAACAAGACGCACGGCAAGCAAGAGAACAAAGCATATTGTGAGCCTATGTCAAAAACTCTCCCCTTCTATATTTCTTCTATTATTTGGATTCATAGATTATTGTTTGATTTTTGCTTTGATCCAGCTGAGAATCTCTCCCCTAAATCATGAGCCTAGGGCGTAACTTCAGAGATATTAGGAAAATTCACTTAGATCTAAAATATGAATATATATTTACACCAACGAATTATAACTCAAATCTAACATAAACTCTAAAGATTTCTCAAAAATATGTTTTTAATATAAATTGAAATGTTGGCCTAATAATCTTTTTTTTCAAAAAAAAATTAAACACTACACTTAAGAAGCATAAACTTGCTGATTAGATCTTAAATTAATTAATCTTCATATCCACATAATAAGCTAAAAAATCTTGCTAAAAATTGCCCAAAACACGCAATGGCACTCTGGCGAGGTTAAATCGAACTTGAGAACTATGGAATTGCAACTGAGAGGAAGAATGAGAGGGCCTGATAAATATTTTGACATTTCTACCAATTTTTTTTGTGGAATTTATGTCAAAAAAAAGTAGGGGAATTTCTAGTAGAAGTACCATCGAAAATTGTTTAGCAAATTTTGTCATCATTTTCATCTAAATTTTTGCCCACTTTAGTTTTGCCAATAGAAAAGTGTCCCTCAAATTTAAGTGAAAATTCTATAAGATGGTGGTTAGACCTGCAATGCTTTATAATACAAAATGTTGACTATTAAAAGAGAATCATACAATTAAGTTAAGTGTTGCACTTGCACATATGAGGATGCTCAGGTGGATTAGTGGTTTTAGTCGTAGAGAGAAAAATGTGAAATGAGCTTATACGTGAAAATATTGGAGTAACACCAATGATAGATAAGATTAGAGAGAGTTTTCTTTGATGGTTTGGCTAATCCATCAATTTCCATTAGTGGAAAAATCTATAAACCTAAAACATCATCTGTTTGGTTAATTCATAAGTAAAAATCCACAGCCCAAATCTCAAACACAACCACAAAATAGGGGGAGGAGCTATAGTCATGCTCGTCATGCCCCGGTTTTTCTGAAGGCCCTGCTCTTCTTCCTTCTTCTGTCATTCTTTCCAACGCCAGTAAATATGCCCCAACTATCCTTCCCCCTACAAACACCACTAACACTTCTCTCACACCCGATATCACCACAGTCCAATGTATTCCTAAGCAGGCTATTCCCCCGACAAGCCAAACTCTTCAACCAACTTCCCCTATCTCCCCCCTCCCCCTGAGAATCCTGCTTTGGAAGCCCACAAGGATGATTCTATACCAAACTTAAATTCATCCTTGGATGAAGCCTCTTCATCTGAACAATTTCAGGCTATATAACCTCCCCTATCCACTATTAATAGCATTGCCACTTCCCCGCAAAATGCCCTCATCTCCTCTTTTCAAAGGAGTTGTAAAAATGCTTCAGTAACAACCTCTCCAAACAAATTTTCTATCCTACAGCTGGATGACCAATTGGATTCCTGTCTTCAAGTTGTCGGCTCTGCTGGTCAGCCACAAACTGACGACAATCTAGACATGGGTCAATCTTAGAAATCTCAACATGACAAGTCCACCAAAGCTAAAAGGTGCTAAGAAAGCACACCATCCCCCCAAGTCTAATTGATCCTTCCCTCTCTTGGCTGCTGGAGCATTCAGCATTTTAACAAAACTAAAAAAGTTATAGCCTATAAGAATTTGATTGCCTCTCACGACCTCGATATGTTATGTATCCTGTAAGCTAAAGTTTCTTCTCATTATCTCTTGGACCCTTGGTTCATCAAAACTCATCAAGTCTTCCCCAATGAACATAGCTGTAACAACTTTTGTTCCTCTTCCTCTGGGAGGATCTGGTTGAAGTGGAATCACTCTTCTATCTCTTTTACGCCTATTTTATTTAACTCCTAGTTGATTCATTGGACTCTCCTCTTTGGAGCTTTACCCCCCATGCTTCTGTCGGTTTTGTATGATGCTAATTCTCTTGGGGATAGGACCCTTTTGTGGCAACAACTTACGGTTTTGACTGACTCTATTTCCACCCCTGGGATCATTATAGGTGATTTCAACAGTTACAGAGATCCTAAAGATAAATTGGATGGAGCTATGATGCATTTCAGCATATTAGGTGAACTTAATATGTGGGTGTCTAAATCTGGCATTATTGATCTTAATTCAACTGGTTTGAAGAATACTTGGTTCAATGGGCGTGTGGAAGACCCCATCCACATAAAACTTGGCAGGATGCTTGTCAATCAAAAGTGGCTTGATAGCTTCCCTTTTTCATATTACAAGTTGGTTCCCCCCATCTGTTCTGACCATTCTTCCTTGCAACTTAAATCGGGTCATGTTTCTATATTGGCTGACATATTTCAATTCAAAAACTTTTGAATTAGGATGACTGGATATTGGGAAGTTCTTATTTCTTCCTTTGCTACTCATCATGAGGGAAGTCCTATTTCTAATTTGTATGATAAACTTAGAGCTCTTAAAGTTAATTTAAAAAAGAAGAATTGGGCTAATTATCATTTCATCAAAGCTAGGCTTTTGGATCTTAATCACAAGCATAAGGTTTGTTTGGACCTCATTTAATGTAATCCTCTGGATACTCACCTTAATGCTTCTCTGAAAGAGATTAATGCTAACATCTCCTTGCTTCATGGAGCGTTGAGCTCCTGGATCATCCAAAGGGCAAAGTGGTTACAAGATGGTGAGGATGACTTGGGTTTTTTGTATGTTCGCATTAAGACTAAAGCAAATTCTTCCCATATTAAAGAAATCAGTACTGATGAGGGGCACTTTTCTTCTCCTCCTGAGATTGCCAAAGCTATTATTGAGCATTTTAAAAAGCTTTAAAATCCTCCTGAGCATTGTGGTTCTACTAAGTCTAATTTCACTTGTGGTGATACAAATCCACCTCACCTTGTTGATTCTTTGGTGGATCATGTCACTAACCAAGAGATTAAAGAGGTGGTTTTTGCTAGACCTTCCTCTTCTTCTATGGGGCCTGACGGCTACACTTTGAGTTTTACAAGGGGTCTTGGGACATTATTGGTCTTTATGTGACCAATGTTGTTAAAAATTTCTTATATACTGGTCATCTTCCTAGATGCGCAAAAGGAACTGCTATTACCCTTATCCCTAAGCACCAGCATGCTTCTAATATTTCTAACTATCGACCCATTTCTCTTTGTAATGTCATTTATAAGATTATTGTAAAGATCCTTGCTAATCATTTAAGAAGCATTATGCCTCACATTATTCACAAAATTTAAGCCAGGTTCATTTCAAAGAGAATTTCTTTAGACAACATACTTTTGGCCAATGAAATTTTAAACGACTTTAATGGGTCTTCTTCCTTTTTTTTTTGTGCTATATTGGATATTCGTAAAGCTTTTGACTATGTGTCTTGGGATTTCCAGATTGCAGGTGAAGGGTTTTTCGAAAAAGTTTATCTCTTAAATTAGGAGTTGTGTTTATGATGTCCCATTTTATGTTTGCATTAACGACGCTCTTGAGGGTTTTTTCACATCCATTACTGGCTTGAGACAAGGTTGTCCCCTTTCCCCTCTTTTATTTGCAGTTGTCATGGATGCTTTTTCTTGCTCTTTGGATGCCAGTTCTTTTTTGGGATTTCCTTATAGTTAGAGCTCCCTCAATCATCTTCTGTATGCTGATGATTATGTGCTGGTTTTTGGGATTTCCTACATTGCCAATGCCCTTGAGCTGACCAAGATTTTAAACAATTTTGCTAATGTGTCAGGCCTTCATATTAACAATGCCAAGTGCTCCATTTTATTCTCTAAGAACACCTCGGCTACAAAATATATCATCAATACTCTTGGTTTTTCCCCCACTGAACACTCCTTCAAATATTTGGGATTGTCCATATCCACCAAAAAACTTAATTCCTCTCACTTCCAACAACTACTGAGTAGAATTTCTATTCTACTTACTGTTTGGAAAATCAATTTTTTCTCTTTTGCATGTCGTATCCAATTCTTGTGGTTTACTATTGCTAATACTTTAGCTGATGGATAAGGGGAGCGATTATACCTAAATCTTATTGTAAATTCATTGATAAATTGTGCTTGAGATTTCTTTATCATGGCTCTATTGAGGGTAAGAAGCTACATCTAGTAGATTGGCATAATACTTGCTTACCAACTTGTTTTGGGGGACTTGGGATCCCGAATATTCATTCTCTTTCACACGTGTTTGACTGCTCCTTTATTTGGAGGATATATAATACCAACTCTTTTGTATTTGACTAGTTTAATCTCAAATATACTTCCCCCCGGAAGCCAATTCCTTCCACTTCTTCTAAATTTTGGAAGTTCATTCATTGTGTTGCGGCCAAGATCAAGGATAATTTTAAAGTTAATGTGATTGCTGAGAGTAGTAATTTATTTATGTTTTGGGACACTTGGGTGGATGGGAAGACACTTGCTGAGTTTTTTTCTCCCCTTTCTGATCAATATGTGTTTATTTGTGATTATGTGGTTGCGAGGAGCTGGTGCTTATCGGGTTTCTTTCCCTTGTTGATTTGGCAACTCATTTTAGCTATCCCTATTTTGGACTCTTCTTTTGCTACTTTAGATTCGAGGGATAATACTAAACCTTGCTTTAAAACTTTTAGACTCAACTTCTTTGATGGGTTGCAAAAAGTTGATCGGTTTAGATTTATTTGGCATAAGAGAGTTGCCCTTAGATATTCTTCGTGTATCTGGCTTTTGGTTCGGGATGGGTTAAAGATGGATGGTATTCTAGCCAAGAAAAATATTATCAATCATTCTACTTGTTCTTTTTGCTAGCTTGAAGAGGAAAATAGTTCTCATATGTTCTTTCATTGTGATTTTTCTTTTGCGGTTATTTCCCATCTCCTTCCGATTCTGGAAAGTTTTTCGTTTAGGTCCTCACTATTGCAAATTTTCAATTTTTTAGACGATATTGACATTTATAACACGGCTGAGAATGATTTTTGTTTTTTATTTTTTATTTTTTGTGATTAGCTGTGCAATTTATTTTATCTGGAGGGAACGAAATGACATAAGATATGCGGGTTTAAAAATTTCTTATCTAGAATTGTGCAGCAAAATGGCTTTGGTTATATCTAGCAAAGTTGCTAGGTGGAAGTATGTTGATTTGTACTATTCCTCGTTTCCTTCATGCTTTATTTGAGGTGGAGTAGTTCTGGTTGCTGCTTATATGGACGATGATGAACAGAACCTGCTTTGTGTTTTGCATACCCTTGGACGACCAATCTGCATCAGTTCATTGGTGGTATATCATTTGGCTTAGCATGTTAATTTTGCACGCTATTTTCCGCTCGTGTTCTGGTCTATTGGCAATCAGAGAGATTTTCATTACGGTAATGCTGGTATCGAACAACTGAGCTTCCTGGCTCTGATGTTTTGTTTGTCCTTTGGCGGGTTCCATCCTTCTTGAGTCCTAAAGCTTTTGTGCTCATTTTGTTCAATTTTGGGCTTCTATCTTAATTTTTTTCTTTGTATCCGATTTTGGGTTATTTTTGTAGGCTCTTTTTTGTAAGCATATGAGTTTTTGCTATACCATCAATATACGGGCTTAGTCCCAATTTTTTTTTTAAAAAAAAAAGTTAATCCATAAGCTACATACTTCAACATAACTAGTTTTTAAGATATATGTGTTTATTTTTAAAGCGGTTGTCCATTTATAGAAGCATATAATAATTTTGTAGCTTGTTTGCTTACCATTTTTCTTGGTTATTCAATTTTCTAGGACTTTGTGAATTGTTATTATTAGTATTTCTTATTATTCAAATAAACATTTCATCATTTTTTTCTTGTCTTGTATAATTTATAGAATTTGAATGACTTGTATGTGAATATTTGATGTAAATTTATTAAAGATTTCTCTAGTTCTACCTCCTCCTTATGAGTCCACATTCAATCATTTACAACAAAATTTTGTACAACTTACTCCTTATGTTACTTTGAATGATGAAATTATGGCTTTGTTTGGGACAATTTTCTTACTGTTTTTTGAAGCAGTTATTTAGTACAAAGATTTTGCTTTTGAAAGTAGTAAAAAAACTGTCCCAAATGAAGCTTTTTAGTATGAATTTCTTGTTCACTAATGAGACAAATTTGCTTGTGATGATTCTTGGATTATTCTTTAAGTGGCACAATATATATTTCATGATTTATTTGATAAGAATCAAATGGCTAAATTTCTTAGAAATCAAATTGTTTAAGTCAAGTAGTGAAATCAAAATGTTTGGATGTTGTTAGACAAAAAAATTAAAAAAAAAATCAATAATTCTATAAGAGGTGGAACTTATTATTGTTGTTATGTGTTCTCTTATGTGGTGGAAATTAGACTTATCAACCTATGAATTTTATTTTATTTTAAGCAATTATAGCTAATCCTCTTATTATAGGTGTCTGATATTGCTTATGAGTTTGATCATGTGATCCAACCAATTGTTAGGAGCACTTTGGTGCAATTTAATTATGAAATGCTTAAAGCCCCCCATAACTACTTCACTTTATATATATAAGAAGAGAAACCAATTAATTTCATAAATAGACAAGATTAACAAATTGATGACCAAAGTGAGAAAATTGCAAACAATTATTTGAACAAACACCAGCTAGTAAGATATATAATATATATCACAGTACATGATATTTATTATTTCATCAACTTGTATATATTATTATTTTTTTCAAACCAAACTCAGCATAATATGAAGAATCATATATATTATTTTTTCAACTCAAGCCCAACATAGTCTGTAGGACCATAGGGAATGAACAGATCTGCAAAAAATCCCTTCTTTCTTCTAGGATTGCATCCCATATCTTTGCATAATTGATCATTATACCAAGTGTGAACGGAAGTTATGCAAGATCTACGATAACACTCACTTGAATTGCCAGAATATGTCTTATAGTATTTGTCCCACTCGAGTATATTCTTCTCCATTTTTCTTTTGCTTGGCAATATGAAGCCATCATCAATGAGGCAAGCTAGCCACCTCGCTCTTATTTCTGTAGTGTAGACATTGGATATGCTCTCAGAATAACCAATGATGGCCATTTGTGGAATTTGTGGATGTATGCACTCTCTACATCAAAGTTAGCTTAATAATATAAGTACTTATAATATATAAGTTGCAGTTAATGAGTAGTCATATGCTCACTTCAAATAGTTGAGATGAGGCTAATAATGATAAGTATGAATACCTATACAGAGGAACTATCATATCTTTTGTGCCTGCCACAACCTTTTGGAACCAAGGAGAAATAAAAATATTTCTGAGTTTTTGATCACCCTTGAACCCAGTAGCATATATCACCAAATCAGCTTTTATCGGGGTGACTTCCCCCTCAATGAGAACTCCATTCTTGCTGAATTCAAAAGTCTTGCTAGGTTTTAAGATAATGCTTCCTTCTTCTACTTTATCATAAAAGTGTTCTGGTAATACTGCAAGTAAACCAGAAGCTACTCCTTGGAAGAAACTATGCTTTGGAATCATATCATACTTCTTCATGGGGATTGTTTTCTTCAAGTAGCTCTCCGTAAACTTCGAGAAGATCCACCTCTAAAATTAAAAGAAAGTTTTTTTTAAAAAAATTAATAATTCATATTTGAGAGATAAATTTTGTAGATGTTTGCAAGAAAAATGAAGAAGTCAAAAGTATACCAAAGGTGAAAGGATTGTGGCTAAGAGGCTTAATGTGAGTCCTTCACCCGGCTTGTGTAATAGTAATTCTGAGAAACGATTTAAATACATATAATTTATGGGGATTCCCCATGCTTCCAATTGGGATATATTCCATCTTTTTGTTCGAACTATCATAGTACAGGGGTATCTTGGTCCTGTTGATAAGCATTGAGATAATTTTCATTAGATTTTTAAGATTATACTACTTTTAAATAGTACAATATGATGTGAACATGATCCCATGCTATCGATATTTTTTAATCATATGATATTATGTGAAGAATAGAAGAAAAATAAATAATAGTTTAAAGAATTACCATTAATCTTAGCACATTCTGCAGCAATGTCTAATGCTGATTTGAGATATCCTACTATGATGACTTGCTTGTCTTTCACTAATTTTGTCACGGCTGTGCTATCCATATTAGAGTAATTCATAGAATGAATCACTTTACCATTAAAGACCTCTGAATCTTTATTTTTTGGAAATGTTGGTATATTTGGCATTCCACTGAAGCGTCCAATGCATAGAATTACGAAATCCATTATATGTACCTAATTTTGAAAAGAAGAAGAAGAAAAGCATAACTCGAAAAAATGATAATAAGCTGTGACAGTTATTGTCCTTTATTTAAAAAAAAAAACATTTATTGTCCTTTTAAACCTTCTAAAAATCACAAAGCTCACATTGGCCTCTTGGTTGAGAGTTTATGCTTCCAACTAAGAGGTCTTGGGTTTGAGTCTTTGTGTATGCGTTGTGTGTGTGAGTTTGCCTTAAATGGCCTAAATGTCTCAAAAAAAAAAGGAATATTAAATTCTTATTGTCCTTCTAAAGATAATAAGACAAAATATTTCAAATTAGAAGATATTTAAACAAACAAAAAATTAACACGTCTGAAAATTTTATATTACCAAAATTTTTAAAAAATATTATATTTTTTATTTTTTTTATAGCTCACAAAATTTTATTTTTAATATCATAACACAAATTGCATATAAATATCTCAAAAAATTAGGCGAAGATATCATTGAACAAAAATAAATGGTCAAGATCGACTCCAAATTCTTATCCGTTGCTTTAAAATTAGTGCAATTAAAAAATTGATTTCTCATATACTTTTTTTATTATTTATTATTATTTTATTTATAGAACACTAATCTCAAAGCAAATTCATCCGTTTCGGATACTGTAGTACCGAATGTTTTCATTTTATTCTTATTAATTACCTCTACAGCTCCATCTTCCTCTTGCCGCACTGTAACATGCCACACCCCTCGCCGCCCGCCACCAAACGCGCCGCCGGTCCCAGCCCACAGATCCCACGCCTCCATCTCCTCCTCCGCTACACCAACATACTCTATCCCCTCCACCTTCTCTCCAAACCTCACATGTCTAACAAGATCAAATCGTTCAGCATAGGATTCTAAATACTCCATCACCTGCTTACTGTCAGGACAAACCTCCGTCACCTTCTCCGGCCACGGAAAGTCGGAGAATTGGTAATCCCATCTCGCCGTCTGTAGCCGAGTTGACGCCGACGTGCTCTTCCACAGGCCGCCGATGCTCCGATCGGCCTCGAAGACCACCGGCTGGAATCCTCTCTCTAGCAAGTATTTACAAGCTGCAAGGCCACTTACGCCGGCCCCGATAATGCAGACTCTCTTCTTCTGCTCCATGGCTGCTAATCTCTCTGTGACTCTGTTAGACTTTTTGAGTCTATTACAATTTATAGGAGCTTTGGCTGCAGTTTGGTAAAGGATTGAGGATGAATTTTTCGGTGAATTGATTTTTTTAATAATTTTAATGTATTTTACTTTAGTAATTTTAAATTTGATTTTTTAATCGAGTTGAAGACTTTTCGGCACTCTTAGTAAAAATAATTATTGAATGATGCGACTATAATTTGGACCTTATTGCTAGAATTTATTAATATGAATTTTTAAATTCATGAACAATTCATTATTTTATATATAGAATGATTAAGGATCATTTCTTGTTTAACAAGCAGCTTGTTAAGATATTGAAAAATATTCACTTACGACATTGACGATACGAGGTCACGCTCAGTTTTCCTGGATTAATCCGGTTTGATTTTGGGTTTTCGGATCAATTCGAATCTGGCCTGATTTTCTAAATGAGTCAAAATCTCGAACTCGAAACCGACTCATATGACAACGGGTTGATCCTAATTCGGAATTTTTCGGGTTGAGTTAGGATTTGTTTGGGACGACTAGCATTTTATAAAGTTGATTTGTGAATTGTTATGGAGAAAATAACTTAACTATTCTGATTGCAAAAAATAATTTTCTACCACATAAAATTTTGAAAAACAATAAAAAATAGTAACTAAATAAAATTATGATAGTTTTCTGGAAAACAAAGCGACAAAAAAGTTATCCTAAATAGACACTTAGTTTGTGTTATCACTAATATTTGCTCCAGTAGAAATCATTATCTTGAAGTTCATGAATTTAATTTTAAAATTTTCTATTTAATTTTTTTTTTTTTGGAGACTTATCACTAATATTTGCTAGACAAAAATATAAAGTATATAGCTATCATTAAAAATTTAATTATGTAATTAAGTATAAAAAAAAAGATAAAATCATTCATTAAATGGGCGACCTGCTGTTGAGTCGATAAGTTGAGTTAGCTCTGACTGTACGGACAACTTTTTAGTAATTTTTTAAGTTAAACAAATTTAAAAATCTAAAAGAAATTATTAAATTTTAAGAAATTTTAACTAATATATTAGTTAATATGAAAATTTATAATAAGGTCAACTTATTTTTATTATAAAATTTCAGCTAAATTCATTCTTTTATTCAAAGATAAAATTATATCATATTATATTTTATTTATCCTGTAACGTTAATAGAATTAAAATGTTTTAAGTTAAATATTCTAAAATAATTATCATACTTATTGATATATCATCTAATTATTTATAATTATTTCTACTATATCACCCGTTTGAATAAATATTTTTACATATTTTCTATGCTAACATCTAATTATTATGGTATATAAGTAAAATAATAAATTAACAGAATAGAATGGTTTATTTATAATTATAAGTAATTAGATGGCATATCCATAAACATGAAATTTCGTTATGTTATGTTAGTTAAAATTCCTGCTGCGAGGACTTTCTGCTTTTGCTCATTTGCTGAAAATTTTCTTTGGCATGAACTTTCTCTCCACCCTCTCTTGGAATTCAGCACTTTTGAAGTGCATGTCTGTGAGGGTTCTGGACAAAATTACCTTACAATCTCAATCCTCTCTCTTATTAGTTTTGGATCAGATGCTGCTTTGATTAACAAGTACAATGCTTCGATCTCAAATGGCAGTCCAATGAAGCTTGCAGTTGCCGATAGTCTTTGTTCTTTACTGATTCTATTTCCACGCAATAAATAAAATTTATTTTCAATCATATATTCATCTTCAAGTCAGCCTGACAGCTTTGCCAAACACCAAGTCAGAAATTTTTTAAATTGGTTTTCAGCATCAGCAAGGTTGGATTGAATTGGCAAGCACATGTGGCAAATTATCTGCTATTGTAGTTGCCGATTGGTGTCGCTGCCGCTATTGACAGCTCATCGCTAACCACCACCCACCGCCGCCACCAACGTCCACCATTGCTGGCCACCTATCGCTCGTCTCCAGCTTCTACCACCTACTAACGACCATCGTTACTTGTCATCTGCCAAGTGCCAATGACAAATCATGATCTCCTCCTCTTCATGCCTTTCGCCGCGTGACTCTACTATTGCTGATACCTTTTTCGACGAGCTCTCATCATAAATCATGATGCCTTCTCCTACGACTTATGAGCTCCCGTCTCCATCAATCTCCAATCATGATGTCCACTTTAAATCCTGCTGCTCCATGATTCCTGCTGTGATTTTCATTTTTACTTCATTGAATTCTCCTAGGATCTCGAGTCAAGCTCGAATTTGCAATAGATGAACAAGTCGAATTCGAACTCAAAACATGAGGCCTGCTCAAGCTTGAGCCTATTGTCTGACTTATGAGCTGGGTTTGAGTTAGTTGTGACTTAATCTTGAATCGACTCGTTCACACTCTTAAATCTTATTATCATTGAGATGCCTAAAAATAGAGCCTAATGTATTGGTTCTTTAGTTCATATGTTTAGTTTATCTTATATAGTTGTTTCATTAAATTTGCATTAGAGGCTTATTTGTGTAAATCTGTATTTCCCTTCCCCACATCCACTGTGGAGAACAAAAACCATGGATGTTAAGATTACTGGCTGCAGGCTTGCAGAGGAATTTCCATTCCTAAAGATTGATTGCCAGCAGAGTTCCTGTTGTGGAAAGATATTGTGGAGGCCATGAAGAAAGTCATTCCGCAAGCATGTATAGCAAAGAGGATTATTATCCCCTTTGAGTTTTGATTGAGGAGCTCATCTATGTTGGGTAATTAAAAGAGTTCATTCTTATTGACAAATTGTGATATATCAATAATGAGATGATATATTGAATGAAAAATGAGTATGTTCCAACATAGGCCATCATCATTATATGGGCCAACATCCCTATTATCGATAGTGGAGTGAGAGTTGCGGCATCAAGAAAAGTAAGGCTTCGTTTGGGACGGCTTTCTTTCTCCTTCTTAAAGCAGCTTCCTAGTACCAAATTAAAAATTTTGTACTTAAAAACTGCTTTAAGAAATAGAAAGAAAGCCGTCCCAAACGAAGCCTAAGTCTCAAATAACAAAAGTTGTGAGGGATCCATGCTAACTCAACTTAAAACTCATATTCTATAAAGGTTGTAACCACCTCCATCGGTATCGACTGGCACCGATGAGATTCATAGCCTAGACATGATGCGAAAGGCTTCTATGCAATGCTCGATGTAGCTGGGTAGAGACATGTCTAATGCAGATTTGAAAGCCCATCTATCCCAAACCTTAAATAATTCTATTTTGGTTCAATCTGATTGTTTGGATATTGATGAGTCATTTTTTACATCTTCTATGGTTGAGGGTGATGATTTTGGTGATTATGTAAATGATGATATGCATAGTTTTATGGTGGGGTGTGTTGTTGATCAAGCTATTCTCAATGGCGGAGGCAAAAGAAAGAAAAGTGAATCCAAGAAGAAATAGGCTTAGGGTTTCCTTCTCACTTTCGTTGCCCTGTTTTTCTCCCTTTTTGCCTCGGCTTGTTGGAAACTAGGGGTGTCAATATTTTACACGACACGAAAACCCGACCCGAACCCGACCCAATTTCAAAACGGGTGGGGTTCGGGTTCCAGAAATTGACCCGTTTAAAAAACGGGTCGGGTTCGGGTTGACCCGGCGCAACTCGCCAACCCGTTTAATTTAAAAAAATTTGAATTCCGCCCACCCGCGCTGCCCGACCGCGCTGCCCGCTGTCGGGTCCGCAACCTGCCAGGTCGGGTCCGGGTTTGGATTTCCGACCCGTTTGTCTACCCGGGTCGGGTTAGGGTCGACCCGTTTGAACCCTGGTCAGTTCCGGGTTCGACCCGAACCCGACCCGTGACTCGAAATTGACACCCCTATTGGCAACCTTCGTTTGTGCCCTTCTACTTGGTGGTTGGCTGTGTGGGAGGTAAAAATGTCAGAATTTTTACGGGGAAACTCCTAAAAATGGGGTTTGAATGAATCCACTAGTGGTTGTAGTCAATTATGTAGCAACATCAGTAGCTTGTTTCTTGAATTATGATATTTGTTATTCCGAATGAGCAACTTATATAATATTTTTATGCTCAACAAAATCTTTGGGTTTAGTTTTAATAACTATAAATCAAACATAATTTTCTCTTACTCTAGCCGAATATTTTGTACAATACACTTGATTTGCTTAATGGGCTATGATGATAGGAAATTTGTCACATTTTTATTCCTTTTTCATGCAATGATTCCATGAAGATTATGTACCCTTATAACTCTATTAAAAGCATGGTCAAACCAATCATAAGTAAATAATAATATGCTTTCGTAATTATCATCTAGATATTATAATTATATTTTCACTTGTAAAGTTCAATAGTAGTCTTCTTTATTATATGTATGAGTATTATATTTAACACATACATTATAATTGTCAGTATTACTTCCTTCATATCAGGAACTACTGTGAATATGTATCCTTTTATTATGAAAATAGGTCATGTTTTAATCATTGTGGTAATTGAAGAAACCCAGAGAGGGTTCAAGAAGCTTGCGAAACAGAGAAATGTAAATTGTATATTGTGTCGTTCTAACTGATTACAGAGGTATTAAATAGCTACAGGAAGAATAGAGACTAACGGCTAGTACACGTGTCGACATCCTATAGGAGTAATTACAAGTTGATTAATTACATGCTTCTAACAGTCCCCCGCAAACTGATGATCTAGAAAAGATAGTCAGTTTGGATCTTAAATCTTTGAAGCGAGACGTCGAGAGAGGTTTGGTTAGGATGTCGGCAATTTGATCTTTCGTGCTAATAGGTAGTAGCCGAATTGTATTGTTTTGAATGTGATCGCGGATAAATCTTTGATCGATTTCAATGTGCTTGGTGCGCGCGTGGAAGACAGGATTGTTAGCCAACGCTATTGTGGACGTATTGTCGCAGAAGACGTCTACAGGGTGATGGTGATGAATGCGGAAGTCTTCGAGTAGTCTTTTTATCCAAATTGTGTCGGCAGTGGCTGAAGCAAGTGCCCGGTACTCGGATTCAGTAGACGATCGTGATACCGTTTGCTGCTTCTTAACGGTCCAAGAAATTAAGGTCTTGCCGAGGAAGGTGCAAAAACCAGATGTGGATTTTCGGGACACCGGATCTGAAGCCCAGTCGGCATCAGAGAATGTCCGAAGCGTGAGATCGGAGCGGGAGATCGGGAGTCCGAAATCTGTGGTTCCTTTAATGTACCTTAATAGCTTCTTTAACATGAGCATGTGCTGATTGCTGGGGTCATGCATGTGCTGAGATAACGCATTAACAGCGTAGGATATATCAGGTCTTGTGAGAGTTAAGTATTGTAGAGACCCGATTATTTGACGATATCTGTGAGCGTCCATCCAAGCGTGATCATCCAAAACTGGAGCTGGAGGTTTAGTAAAGGATGGATTAGAGACCGAATTGCAGTTATGCAATTCGGCCATTTGTACGATAGAGTTTGCATAAGAGTTTTGTGATAGAAAAAACTTATCAGTAAGCGAGTCGATGTGGATGCCGAGGAATTGATTTGCCAATCCCAGGTCTTTCATAGTAAATTTGAGCTTCAGCTGTTCGATGATATCTTGCATGGCGTGGATGTCATTGCCGGTAATAAGGATATCGTCGACATATACGAGGAGGTATATTTGCAGGTGTTCTTTATGCATAAGGAGTAAGGAGGGATCGGCTTGACTGTGTATAAACCCGATCCGTAGAAGATATTCGGTGAAGGTTGTGTACCATTGGCGAGGCGCTTGACGGAGTCCATAGATTGCCTTGCGAAGTTTGCACACGTGAGTCGGATGGATGGAGTCTTCGAAGCCTTTTGGTTGACGCATGTAAACCGTTTCTTTGATGTCGCCGTGTAAGAAGGCGTTAGATACATCCAGTTGATGTACGTTCCATTTATGAAAAATGGCAACGGCTAGTAGGATACGAACGGTAGGCAATTTGGCAACCGGGCTAAATGTGTCCAAATAGTCTAGGCCATATTGTTGCTGATTTCCTTGAGCTACAAGACGCGCCTTGAATCTTGCGATCGATCCATCCGATTTTCGTTTG